AAAGAAGCAATAAAACTGGCCTTCTTGAGACTAGTTGACTATCTGGAGCATCAGCAATTGTGGGTTCGATTACAGGCTCAAAATGGCCAGAAACAAATAACTTTCTTCTGAAACTCGTCAGTCTATTCTTGTTCTGAGAAATGAAGGCTATTCCATGCAAGAAATTGACAAGAAACTGAAGATCTCGTACAACGCTGTGTACTACTCCCTTCACAGAACAGTGCAAACTGGCTCTAACCAGAATAGAAAGAGGAGTTTTCTTTCAGAAACAAGGACATTTCTAAGTGACTCCAAACTTTTGAGTAGTAGTGTATACCTTATTTCCATAAGTAGTGTGAGACTCGAAATTGAGCTCAGGTGCATCCTGTTTCCATTGATCATCCTTGATGTTTCTACAACTTGATTGGAGTCCACCTGTGGTAAATTCAATTGATTGGACATGATTTGGAAAGGCACACACCTGTATATAAGGTTCCACAGTTGAGAGTGCATGTCAGAGCGAAAACCAAGCCATGAGGTTGAAGGAATTGTCCATAGAGCTCTGAGACAGGATTGTCTGGGGGCACAGATCTGGGGAAGGGTACCAAAAAATGTCTGCAGCATTGTAGGTCCCCAAGAATACAGTGGCCTCCATCATTCTTAAATGGAAGAAGTTTGGAACCACCAAGACTCTTCCTAGAGCTGGCCGACCGGCCAAACTGAGCAATCGGGGGAGAAGGGCCTTGGTAAGGGAGGTGACCAAGAACCCGATGGTCACTCTGACAGAGCTCTAGAGTTCCTCTGTGGAGATGGGAGAACCTTCCAGAAGGACAACCATCTCTGCAGCACTCCACCAATCAGGCCTTTATGGTAGAGTTGCCAGACGGAAGCCACTCCTCAGTAAAAGGCACATGACAGCTTGGAGTTTGCCAAAAGGCACCTAAATACTCTCAGACCATGAGAAACAAGATTCTCTGGTCTAATGAAACCAAGATTCAACTATTTGGCCTGAACGCCAAGCATCACGTCTGGAAGAAACCTGGCACCATACCTACGGTGAAGCGTGGTGGCAGCATCATGCTGTTGGGTGTTTTTCAGCTGCAGGGACTGGGAGACTAGTCAGGATCGAGGGAAAGATTCCTTGATGAAAACCTGCTCCAGAGCGCTCAGGACCTCAGACTGGTGCGAAGGTTCACCTTCCAACAGGACAATGACCCTAAGCACGCAGCCAAGACAATGCAGGAGTAGCTTCGGGACAAGTCTCTGAATGTCCTTGATTGGCCCAGCCAGAGCCCGGACTTGAACTCGATCTAACATCTCTGGAGAGACCTGAAAATAGCTGTGCAGCAACACTCCCCATCCAACCTGACAGAGCTTGAGAGGATCTGCAGAGAAGAATGGGAGAAACTCCCCAAATACAGGTGTGCCAAGCTTGTCGCGTCATACCTAAGACTCGAGGCTGTAATCGCTGCCAAAGGTGCTTCAACAAAGTACTGAGTAAAGGGTCTGAATACTGATGTAAATGTGATATTTCTGTATATTGTTTCTAAATTAGCAAACATAAAATAAAATAAAAAGTCATTATGGGGTGTTTTGTGTAGATTGATGAGGGAAAAAAGTGAAGGGGTCTGAATACTTTCCGAAGGCACTGTATGCTGATGACTCAACATTATACACGTCAGCTACCACAGCAAGTGAAATCACTGCAAAACACTTAACAAAGAGCTGCAGTCAGTTTTAGAATGGGTGGAAAGGAATAGGTTAGTACTAAATATTTCAAAAACTAAAGCATTGTATTTGTGACAAACCATTCACTAAACCTCAACTAAATCTTGTAATGAATAATGTGGAAATTGAGCAAGTTGAGGAGACTAAACTGCTTGGCGTAACCCTGGATTGTAAACTGTCATGGTCAAAACATAGCTAAGATGGGAAGAGGTCTGTCTGCAATAAAGTGCCGCTTTCTTGACATTGCTATCAACAAAACAAGTCCTACAGGCCCTAGTTTTGTCGCAACTGGACTACTGCCCAGTCATATGGTGAAGTGCCACAAAGAGGGACATAGGCAAATTACAGTTGGCCCAGAACAGAGCAGCACGGCTGGCCCTTAAATGTACACACAGAGCTAACGTCAATGACATGCATGTCAGTCTCTCCTGGCTCAAAATAGAGGAGAGATTGACAGCATCACTACTACTCTTTGTGAGCGATATCAACATGTTGAAAGCTCTGAGCTGGCTGTTTTTAAACGAGTAGCACACAGCTCAGACACCCAATGGGGATCCCTAATAAACACCACTACTCGGCCTACTGCCATAATCAGTTTAATATCGAATTATTAGTGTGCATGTAAGCGTAGGCTACTCAGTGAGAGAAGATCAGAAATGGACAAGATGACGGCGTACACATTAAAATGTTTGATTACTTCATGGAGCGAAATTGTATTTATTTTAATAACGGCAAATTTTCAAACGTTCCACATGCAACTAGCGATAGGAGTTTAGGAGACACCGATGTCTTCCATGTCGAGAATGAAGAAGGTATCGCCATGTAAAGGTTAGTTTACATTGCTTTTCATTACCTAAGCTGTAGGCTTGGGTGGTATCCAGATTTGTATATTGTCATACCGTCCTTCTCTCATAGCGGGATTTACGGTATTACTGGCATAGCTCACAAGCGGGTGCTAAAAACGCAAGAAAAGGCCATTGTACCTCTATTACAAGAACAACAAAATTAGCACAAACTAGTAGCGAAATCACATAGACGCTGTTAGCTAAATGCTAACGAGCGAAAACTAACAAACTAATTGCAAAGACAGGCAAATCCAGCTCATAAAGTTATACAAGCATACAGTGAGGGAGAAAAGTATTTGATCCCCTGCTGATTTTGTACGTTTGCCCACTGACAAAGAAATGATCAGTCTATAATTTTAATGGTAGGTTTATTTGAACAGTTAGAGACAGAATAACAACAAAAAAATCCAGAAAAGTGCATGTCAAAAATGTTATAAATTGATTTGCATTTTAATGAGGGAAATAAGTATTTGTTTGTGTAGTCAAGGGCACAGCCTCATAGGGGAAAAAGAGAGCGCTTTGGGACAAATGTGGTAGGCTTTTTTTTTCATGTATTGAGCCACATCATTAGGATCGCCAGCTATTAGTAGCCCTGAACATGGGGCTTGATGGCAAGAAATGATATGAGTTGCATTCGCAGTCTAGCAGCAGGAATAGAATAGTCTGGCATTTAGCATATTCCGGTGTTTGGCATCAACCACAATATGAGCATAGCTGCTGCATAAGGACATGGCGTGGAAGCCCCCACATTTCAATAGGGCATTTGTAGCCTTGTTCAAAACAGTAAGAAACTGATTAGTGAACTTGACCACCTCCCCATTTTCTGATGTCTTCAAATAAGCAAAGAAACCTTGGAATGGAATTTACCGACTGGAAACAAATGTATTACAGCTCTTTTTTTTCTTGCTGTGTGAGTCGCATTACATGTTTTTTTTTTTAAGCTTGACACATTAAGATGAAACTACTTGATTTAGCCTTCAGAATTGTATGATGTTGCACTTGGAGAATATTAACCCTTTATTGTCCATGGTTTGAGACAAAATGGATCCCATGGTGCTGAGGCAGTTGCCGTGTTTACTATGTTGTCATAATGACCATTCAGAATGACCATTCAGTTGTGTTCAGCTTTTGTCTTTGGGGGTGTCCATTGCACTCATGAAAGGCTGTGCAACAACATTGGTGTTCTATGTCTCTGTGGCAACTACAGTCAGTTGCAGTCTACAATCGTGTTTGATATAGTGGACTGGATTATACATGGACCCAAACTAGAGAATGAGCGTGGCCAGGTAGTGCTGCATCTCGGCTCCTGTTTGCTGCCTACTGCCCAGTACTGAATGTTACCCTTATGTCTACCTCCAGATAACAACCAATCCCCGGTAGCCTCCTGATCACTACGGCAACCAAGGTGTTGCATTACTTGGCAACAGAGATGGTAGAGGTGGACAAAGGGGGAGGAGAGAGACAGAGAGGATAGATGTGTTTGTAGGGGGAGGTAGAGGTTTGAATGAGGAGAGGAGAACCTGGACAGAAGGAGTAGAGGGAGACCAAAAGGGAAAGGAGGTACAAGGGAAGAGGGAAAGGATGAGAGGGAAGATGTGCAGAGGTAGTATTCTTGCAGGACAGTGGCTCCCCTGGAGAGTCAGTGGTATTGTAGGCATTGTTATGCTCCAGATTCAGCCCTGCAACTAGATTCACGTGCAACCCTATCATTGTCCCCTGAACACAGTCGTGTTCCAAATACACCAATACTGTGCAGGCATGCACAGAATTTCAGATATGTTTTACAATGCCAAGGGAAGTCTCTAGAATTCCTGCATAGAAATTGTGTGTCTGGAAAGCAACCACAGTCTCTTAACTGGACTTTACCTGAGCAGAGCTCATTAATGACTCTTACGAAATAAACCTGCTAGCCTAGAAAGTGGTTGGCTATATTCCTATTTTTTCACATACACACAGCTTGTACCTGGAATACCTGCACTCAACATGTTTACCATGGACTATGCTTACCATAGGCTTATGGGAGGTTTCTCCTAATAATCTGTGCTGTGTTTGTGTGGTTGCAGGTGGTAGCAGCCTAAACGATGGACGGGGAACACCAGGAAGAGAATCCTTCACATGAAAAAGAAAATGCTCTACACAATGAAGAGAAGACTTCATGTGATGTGGAGAAGACTTTATGTGACATGGAGAGAGCTTTATGTGACGTAAAGAAGAGTGCTGAAGAGAGCAGTTCAAGTGATGATGAGAACAGTTCGGATGATGAGGTAGGACAAAGACTGGATTCAAACATCCCAAGTGGGTCAGATCCTCTTCTATCTAATGCAGAACGCCCCTGCGATAATGAATCTGAGCCGTTGCCCCAAAAAACTGCACAAGCTAAAAAAACCTCAACGCAAGAAATTTGCACCACGGAAAGGTACACGGTCAAGCTTACGTTCTAGCTCAAAAATGACAGTCAGCGCATGTAGTACGGCAGATGATGGTAAAAGAAAATGGGGCAAAAAGCACTTCTGCCTGTATTGCAATGAACCACACCATAAAATTGCAAGACATTTAGAAAGGATACACGCAGAAGAAGCAGCTGTCGCTCATGCTATCAGCTTCCCCAAACTCTCCAAAATCAGGTCTCTCTTGCTTGACCAACTCCGTAACAAAGGCAACTATCAAGTTCTTCAAAGTGGAAATTGCGAAATTGTGACAAAGGATAGAACCTCTTACGATGGTGTTTCTGTGCGTGACTGCCTGCCCTGCCAACACTGCTCAGCTTCTTTAAACAAAATTGATTTATGGAAACATGAGGGCTCATGTAAAGCCAGAAAAGGACAAGATGAAAAGAGGGGAGGAAAAAGGGTGCGGGTCCAGGCTGCGCCCTCTCGACTTCTTCCATTGCCGGTCTATTCTACTGGAGGATGTGAAGAAATAATACACAATATGAATCAAGATGACATCTTATGCCACATCAAAAATGATCCCCTGATATGTAAATATGGCAATGCACTATCTGCAAAGCATGGCCATGCCAAGTCACAGTTTACTTACATTGGATCAAAAATGAGGGAATTGGCTAGATTTGTACTTACTGTAAATGAGATGGATTGTGGTGTCCAATATCTGCATGAAGTATGTGTACCATCCAAATTCAAATTGGCCGTTCATGCTGCCAGGAAAATTAGTGGTTTTGATCCTGCCTCCAACAGGTACAAGACCCCATCTCTTCCTTTAAAGATTGGCTATTCCTTGAAAAGAGCTACTGAAATAGCTTTTGGGGAGAGTCGTATGACAGAGGACCGTGAGGCAGAGGAACAAGCCAAAAGCTTAATTGAGCTTCTTGAAAATGATTGGAATAACTGTTTTTCCGGTCTGTCCCTCAGCGCTGTCCCTCAGTGTGATGAAGTTGATGTGACTTCACTAACTGAGGATTTGATAAAACTTCAGAAGTTTCTCAAGGTTGCAGAGGACACGGCAAAGAAAGAATTGCTCGAGAGCCCCACCAACGCTGTCTGGAAAAAGCTCAATGAAACTCTTCTTGCAGAAATAGCTCTCTTCAACAGAAAAAGGACAGGAGAGGTTGCGAAAATGCTGTTGGAAACATACACAAACCGAAAGAAAGCTCCAGCTAGTGCAGACATTTTCAATAGCCTCTCAAGGCTGGAGCAGGAGCTTGGTGACGACAAACTAACCAGGGTGGAAATAGAAGGCAAAAATGGTAGAACAATGCCGGTCCTGCTAACGGCAAGGATGATCTCATCTCTTGAGATCCTTATTGCAAACAGAGACAAAGTTGGTGTGTCAAAGGACAACCCTTATGTCTTCGCACGGAGCCCAGACGCAGCAAGCTACGTCAGAGGGTCTGACTGTCTGAGGAAGTTTGCTCATGAGTGTGATGCAAAGAATCCTGAAAGTCTGATCCATGCAACAGTAAGGAAAGAGGTTGCTATCCATAGCCAAATACTGAACTTGAATGAAAGTGAATTGGATCAAGTGGCAAAGTTATTGGGACATGACACCCAGGTCCACAAAGAGTACTACAGACTCTCTGAAAATGCAGCACATCTAGCAGAAATCAGCAAAATGCTGCTTGCAATGGATCAGGTTCCAGTTGTAATTCCAGGGCCATCTGAGGAAAGGGTTGTTTCACCTACATATGGTGAGTATCAGTTGTTTTGGAGAGTATTTGGACAACATTTCCATTTTGTTTCAAGGGTTAAATGTTCAGTGGGAAAATCCCAGTTCAAGTTGTTTTGTGCCATTTACATGTTAACTAGATCTACATTTTTGAGAAGCTTGCAACTTATTACCCTATAGTATTTGCTCTGTTCCTCTTTATAATATATGATAATGGCACATGTTCATGAATCCTTTTCTTCTGTATGTATTAATTTTATAGGGGTATATTCTGCAGGGACATATCCAGTGGGAACCGATTCTGCGAGGACATATCCTACTGGCACATATACCACTGGGTCATCTTATCCTACAGGGACATATTCAGCGAAGTCATATACGTTGGGGGCACAGCCTTCAAGGTCATATCATGCTGGGACATATTCTGAGAAGTCATATCCTTCAGGATCCCATTCTGCAAGGTCATATTCTGCAAGGGCATATCCTACCGGGATAAATCCTGCTAGGTCATATTCTAATGTGACACATCCTGCAGAGACCTATCCAGCAGCTTCATATGCTGCAGGTACACATCTTGCAAGTTCATATCCTGCAAGTCCTTATGATCTCTCATCTCCTGCAAGATCATATGCTTCGGGGACGAATCCTGCAAGATCATATCCTGAAGAGACATATCCTGTAGGGACATATCGTACAGGGACACATCTTGCGGGGTCACAACTTGCAAGGTCATATCCTGCCGGAACATATCCTGCACAGACACTTCCAGCGCAATCACTTCCAGCGCGTACAGTTATTACGCCAACACTTAATGCACAGACACTTCCTGTTGGGGCATTGCCTGTGGGTGCAGTTCCTGCGGGGGCAGGTTCTGTGGGGATGGGTAAGGTGGCCACAGTGTGGAAACAGAGGATGTGGAGTGATGCAGCTAAGGCTGCGGTGAACCGTCAGATGGGACACTTTATCTCAATGATGGAGGTTCCAGGTAAACAGGACTGTGAAGTATGCCTGCACAATGAACCAGCTCTACGAGACAGGACATGGAGGGACATCAAAAACTATGTGCACAACACAGTAAAATCTATAAAAAGGAAGAAGGGCCTTACAAGAGTGGACCCCACAAAACAGACAAAGAAAGGAGCGGCAAAGAAACAAAAAGAGGCAAATCGTGCTAAAGAATGGGTTGGTGGAACAAAGGCAATACCTGCAAAGGGTCAAGAGGAGAGACTTGAGGCAGGTCCTGTGGCAACACCAAGGAAACAGAAGATATGGAGTAATGAGGCTCAGGCTGCGGTGAGGCGGCAGCTAGGAGACTTCACTAAACTGATAAAGATTCCAGGTAAAAGGGAATGTGACGCATGTCTTGCAGCTGAACCAGCTCTACAAGGCAGGACATGGAAAGATGTAAAGAACTATGTGCGTAATACATTAATGACAATTTGCAGGAGGCATATTTCAGGCAAGCAAAATATGGACCATGAAAAACAAAGTCCAAGGACACAAAAACCAGGGGTTCAACAAAATCCAGGGGTGCATCAGAAACCAGAGGTCCTGTTGGGACTTCCAGACGATCCTCCTGTTTATCTGTACTTATGATTACCTTGAACTAGTTTAAAAAGCTTTTGATTTAATCTGACCATCCTTGCTCACTCTGATCTCACTTTGTAGCATAAATCAAGAATGAAGAAGCAGTTTAAGTATATAATATCACTACGTACTTTATTCTACAAATGTATCCGTAGCAACTAGGCTACGTAGTGACATAGTATGCATATACACTACCGGTCAAACGTTTTAGAACACCTACTCATTCAAGGGTTTTTCTTTATTTTTTACTATTTTCTACATTGTACAATAATAGTGAAGACATCAAAACTATGAAATAACACATATGGAATCATGTAGTAACCAAAAAGTGTTAAACAAATTAAAATATATTTTATATTTGAGATTCTTCAAATAGCCACCCTTTGCCTTGATGACAGCATTGCACACTCTTGACATTCTCTCAACCAGCTTCACCTGGAATGCTTTTCCAACAGTCTTGGAGTTCCCACATATGCTGAGCACTTTTTGGCTGCTTTTCCTTCACTCTGTGGTCCGACTCATCCCAAACCATCTCAATTGGGTTGAGGTCGGGGATTGTGGAGAACAGGTCATCTGATGCAGCACTCCATCACTCTCCTTCTTGGTCAAATAGCCCTTATGCAGCCTGGAGGTGTGTTGGGTCATTGTCCTGTTGAAAAGCAAATGATCGTCCCACTGAGCCCAAACCAGATGGGATGGCATGTTGCTGCAGAATGCTGTGGTAGCCATGCTGGTTAAGTGTGCCTTGAATTCTAAATAAATCACAGACAGTGTCACCAGCAAAGCACCCCCACACCAGAACACCACCTCCATGCTTTACGGTGGGAAATACACATGTGGCGATAATCCGTTCACCCACACCAAAAATCTCCAATTTGGACTCCAGACCAAAGGACAGATTTCCACTGGTCTAATGTCCATTGCTTTTGTTTCTTGGCCCAAGCAAGTCTCTTCTTCTTATTGGTGTCCTTTAGTAGTGGTTTCTTTGCAGCAATTCGACCATGAAGGCCTGATTCACACAGTCTCCTCTGAACAGTGGATGTTGAGATGTGTCTGTTACTTGAACTCTGTGAAGCATTTATTTGGGCTGCAATTTCTGAGGCTGGTAACTCTAATGAACTTATCCTCTGCAGCAGAGGTAACTCTGGGTCTTACATTCCTGTGGCGGTCCTCATGAGAGCCAGTTTCATCATAGCGCTTGATGGTTTTTGCGAGTGCACTTGAAGAAACGTTCAAAGTTCTTGGAATGTTCCGTATTGACTGACCTTCATGTCTTAAAGTAATGATGGACTGTCGTTACTCTTTGCTTATTTGAGCTGTTCTTGCCATAATATGGACTTGGTCTTTTACCAAATAGGGCTACAGTGGGGAAAAAAAGTATTTAGTCAGCCACCAATTGTGCAAGTTCTCCCACTTAAAAAGATGAGAGGGGCCTGTAATTTTCATCATAGGTACACGTCAACTATGACAGACAAAATGAGAAGAAAAAAAATCCAGAAAATCACATTGTAGGATTTTTAATGAGTTTATTTGCAAATTATGGTGGAAAATAAGTATTTGTCTTCTGTATAATCCCCACCCCCTACCTTGTCATAACACAACTGATTGGCTCAAACACATTAAGAAGGCAAGACCAAAAATTAACTTTTAAGAAGGCACACCTGTTAATTGAAATGCATTCCAGGTGACTACCTCATTAAGCATGAAGCTGGTTGAGAGAATGCCAAGAGTGTGCAAAGCTGTCAAGGCAAAGGGTGGCTATTTGAAGAATATAAAATATGTTTTGATATGTTTAACACTTTTTTGGTTACTACATGATTCCATATGTGTTATTTCATAGTTCTGATGTCTTCACTATTATTCTACAATGTAGAAAATAGTAAAAAATAAAGAAAAACCCTTAAATGAATAGGTGTGTCCAAACTTTTGACTGGTACTGTCAACTTGTTTAGCCGACTTTTAAGGACATTTTATGAACTTCTTTTGAGCTGCAAAATTACTTTTGCCACATTGTGGCGCCCAAACTCCAAATCCTTTGGCATAAGCTACACCAATGATGTATGTAATCCCTGGATTGCTGATGCTATGTATTGTCCTTTAAGAGGCTTTGAAGACACCGGTCGGCCATATTGGCACTCCCCACTAGGAGCAGTCCTCCATAGGAATGACTGGAATTTTACAGTATTTTAATTAAATGTTTTTCATGGACAAAATTACATGTATTTAAGTATTTTTTTGTTGTTGTAGTGAGGACCGTAACATTAGTACTCTAAAATACTTTAAGGAAATGTTATGTGTATTTTTGCCTGTACCGTTGTATGTGTAGCTAATGTATATGTGTAGGTTAGGTTTTGAGTTAAAACAACTGACCAGCAAACCTAGAATTTAGTGGGTTAGGCTATTCCTGGTAAAGTGCGGTGTGAATGGGTTTAAGTACTACATTTGTGCCCAGTTTAGAGAGTATGGTTTGATGTTTGAGCCGCTTGAAATCCACCAATCACGTAAAGAAGAATGTTTCTTTGGCTGTTCTTGAATTATACTGAACAAAAATATAAGCGCAACATGTAAAGTGTTGGTCCCATGTTTCATGAGCTAAATAGAAGATGCCAGACATTTTCCATACGCACAAAAACATTCATTCTCTCACATTTTGTGCACAAATTAGTTTACAACCCTGTTAATGACTGTTTCTCCTTTACATTTTTGGCATTTAGCAGACGCTCTTATCCAGAGCAACTTACAGTAGTGAGTGTATACATTTTCATATTTGTTCGCACTGGTCCCTCGTGGGAATCAAACCCACAACCCTGGCGTTGCAAGTGCCATGCTCTACCAACTGAGCCACACAGGACCTCCTTTACCAAGATAACCCATCCACCTGACAGGTGTCGCCCTCCCAGAGTGCAAAGAACCGTGACCCTGGACAACACCCTGTCGTTCTCTGCGAACATCAAAGCAGTGACCTGCTCCTGCAGGTTCATGCTCTACAACATCTGTAGAGTACGACCCTATCTAACACAGGAAGCGGCACAGGTCCTAATCCAGGCAATTGTCCTCTCCCGTCTGGACTACTGCAACTCGCTGTTGGCTGGGCTCCCCGCTTGTGCCATCAAACCCCTGCAACTTATCCAGAACGCTGCAGCCCACCTGGTTTTCAACCTTCCCAAGTTCTCTCATGTCATCCCACTCCTCCGCACACTCCACTGGCTTCCAGTCGAAGCTTGCATCCACTACAAGACCATGGTGCTTACCTACGGAACAGCAAGAGGAACTGCCCCTCCCTACCTTCAGGCTATGCTCAAACCCTACACCCCAACCCGAGCACTCCGTTCTGCCACCTCAGGTCCCCCCCACACACACTTTTTATGCCTGTGATATGTGGTTGTCCCCCCTAGCTATCTTAAGATGAATGCACTAACTGTATGTCTGCTAAATGACTCAAATGTAAACAGCATGATCATTACACAGGTGCACCTTGTACTGGGGAAAATAGGCCACTCTAAAATGTGCGATTTTGTCACACAACACAATGCCACAGATGTTTTGAGGGAGTGTGGAATTGGCAGGCTGACTGCAGGAATGTCCACCAGAGCTGTTGCCAGATAATTTAATGTTAAATTCTCTGTCATAAGCTGCCTCCAACATTGTTTTAGAGAATTTGGCAGTACGTCCAACCGGCCTCAGAACCGCAGACCACGTGTAACCACACTAGCCCAGGACCTCCACATCCGGCTTCTTCACCTGCGGGATTGTCTGGGACCAGCCATCCGGACAGCTGTTGAAACTGAGGAGTATTTCTGTCTGTAATAAAGTCCTTTTGTGGGGAAAAACGAATTCTGATTGGCTGGGCCTGGCTCCGAAGTGGGTGGGCCTATGCCCTCCCAGGCCCACTTGTGGCTGCGCCCCTGCCCAGTCATGTGAAATCCATAGATAAGGTCCTAATTTATTTATTTAAATTAACTGATTTCCTTATATGAACTGTAACTCTGTAAAATTGTTGCATTTTTATTTTTTGTTCAGTATAGAATCTTCAGATGACTACACAAAGACACCAGCTCCATTGAAAATGTTTTCTTCTAATGGATTATACATACATACATACAAGTAACTGAAATGTGCGTTGCCTATTGGAAACAGTTCCTTCGTTCTGCGTGTGGAATTGGTTTCAGAGAATCACACAGAACCTATTCCTCTTGTACTTCGGTCTTTAGCAGTCCATGTAGGGCTACTTGTTTTATTGCCCTTTTGTCAAAGGAAAAACATTTCAACTTTTTATATTAATGTTACTATTATTCAGTACTGTCTTAACCATATTGATTTCACAGCAGCAGTTTAAGTTCTTCAACACTAATTTAGGCTGACTAACTTGTATAGGGTTTGATAGCTGTTGCTTCTCTATGATTTAATCCACTTGCCTACTAGATAATGTTACTATTGCAAGTAAACCTTTCTGTTGCTTCTAATTGCATTAAGGTTCAAGGAGAAATTATGTAAATGTGTTTGTTTATATTTATCAGTTCATGTTATAACTGCAACAGGTCTGCCACAGTGTTGTTAGGCGTTAACTGAGAAAAATAATCAGGGGTTTCAACCACACCCCACTATTTACTGTCTAAAGATGCTTAAATTGTTTGTTTTTTTCACTAACATGTATTTGTTATCAAGCTGCCTGGTGCTCATTGTGTGTACTGTAATATACTATATATTTGCTTGGTTAATAAATTGTTACTTGATGTAAATGTTCAAATGTTATTTAAGTTCTCAGAATATTCATACAGCCTTCTTGAGGTCCATCATTAGTGTTCCAACATGGATTTAGAATTATACCAATAACATTTAAAGGAAACAGCTTTGAGATTTCATGATGTTGTAATACTAGGAATCTATTATCACCATTGCTTAGTGCTTTATGCTTTTACGAACTTAAAACCCTTTTGGATGAAAAGACAACGCCCTAGGTAAGTAGAAAATCAGCTAAACCTTCAAAGAAGTGAACTGCCCCTCTAATTCTTTAAACAATTAGCCCCCTCCCCATTTAATATAATATGTAACTTGTTTGCTACCAGTGGCTTTGGAACGATTTGGTCCTCAGTAAGAAGGAGTCTGTGTGTGTGTCTGTTGCCTCCCGCAGGACTCCAGTGGTATGTCCCTGAGTATGCTGGCAGCAGCAGGGGGACAGGATGACATCCTGAGGCTGCTGATAAAGAAGGGGGTGAAGGGGAACGGACGGCAGAAGAACGGCACCACTGCCCTAATGCACGCTGCAGAGAAGGTAACACAGGACAGACTGGTTTCAACCACCTTATTACAAACAAAGTACACATGTATAAATTCCCCTTGTTTGTATGTTAAATGTCTGTTATGCTATGTGTACTTACTAACTTAACCCCGTATCCTTTAATTTATCATTTCAGAACTTCCTGACCACAGTTGCTATCCTCCTGGAGGCAGGGTCCTACGTCAACGTTTAAACACTGGGAGGAGAGACGGCCCTGATGAAGGTACGGAGGAGAAGAACAAATAAGGGGAAAAGGGGGGAGGTGATGAAGATAAATGCTGTGTTTAATTAGAAAGCAACATACAGTGGTCCTCTGTAGCTCAGCTGGCAGAGCACGGCGCTTGTAACGGCAAGGTAGTGGGTTCGATCCCCGGGACCACCCATACACAAAAATGTATGCACGCATGACTGTAAGTCGCTTTGGATAAAAGCGTCTGCTAAATGGCATATTATTATATTATTATACAGTGCATTCGGAAAGTATTCAGACCCGTTGACTTTTTCTACATTTTGTTTCATTACAGCCTTATTCTAAAATGGATTCAATTGTTTTTCCCCCTCATCAATCTACACACAATACCCCATAATGACAAAGCAAAAACAGGTTGTTAGAAATGTTTGCAAATTTATATAAAATAAAAATAAATTAACACTGAAATTACATTTACATAAGTATTCAGACCCTTTACTCAGTACTTTGTTGAAGCACCTTTGGCAGCGATTACAGCCTCAAGTCTTCTTGGGTATGACGCTACAAGCTTGACACACGTGGATATGGGGAGTTTCTCCCATTCTTCTCTGCAGATCCTCTCAAGCTCTGTCAGGTTGGATGGGGAGCGTCGCTGCACAGCTATTGTCAGGTCTCTCCAAAGATGTTTGATCGGTTTCAAGTCCGGGCTCTGGCTGGGCCACTCAAGGACATTCAGAGACTTGTCCCGAAGCCACTCCTGCGTTGTCTTGGCTGTGTGCTTAGGGTCGTTGTCCTGTTGGAAGGTGTACGTTCGCCCCAGTCTAAGGTCCTGAGCACTCTGGAGCAGGTTTTCATCAAGGATCTCTCTGTACTTTGCTCCGTTCATCTTTCCCTCGATCCTGACTAGTCTCCCAGTCCCTGCAGCTGAAAAACATCCCCACAGCATGATGCTGCCACCACCATGCTTCACCTTAAAAATGTAAAACAGAAATACCTTATTTACAATGAGACTCAAAATTGAGCTCAGGTGCATCCTGTTTCCATTGATCATCCTTGAGATATTTCTACAACTTGATTGGAGTCCACCTGTGGTACATTCAATTGATTGGACATGATTTGGAAAGGCACACACCTGTCTATATAAAGTCCCACAGTTGACAGTGCATGTCAGAGCAAAAACCAAGCCATGAGGTCGAAGTAATTGTCCATAGAGCTCCGAGACAGGATTGTGTCGAGGCACAGATCTGGGGAAGAGTACCAAAATATTTTTGCAGCATTGACGGTCCCCAAGAACACAGTGGCCTCCATCATTCTTAAATGGAAGAAGTTTAGAACCACCAAGACTCTTCCTAGAGCTGGCCGCCCGGCCAAACTGAGCAACCGGGGGGGGAAGGGCCTTGGTCAGGGAAGTGACCAAGAACCCGAGCTCCAGAGTTCCTCTGTGGAGATTGGAGAACCTTCCAGAAGGACAACCATCTCTGCAGCACTTAACCAATCAGACCTTTATGGTAGAGTGGCCAGACGGAAGCCACTCCTCAGTAAAAGCCAAATACACATGTGCCAAGCTTGTAGCGTTAAACCCAAGAAGACTTGCGGCTGTAATCGCTGCCAAAGGTGCTTCAACAAAGTACTGAGTAATGGGTCTGAATACTTATGTAAATGTGATATTTCCTGGTTTTTTTTATATACTTTTGCAAACATTTCTAAAAACCAGTTTTTGCTTTGTCATTATGGGGTATTGTGTGTAGATTGATGAGGTGGGGGAAAACAATTTAATCCATTTTAGAATAAGGCTGTAACGTAACAAAATGTGGAAAAAGTCAAGGGCTCTGAATACTTTCCGAATGCACTGTACATGTGTGGGGTATCATAAGTTTGAAGGAAGGTTGTTGTCTTAGGCACCTTTGCAACACAGGATTCTATATCCTAAACTACTTTAACTACATAAGAGCTTTCAAGAATGCATGATTTTAACTACCTGGTCAAAATAGTCATCCAAATCACTTGTAGTTAAAGTAGTAGTTGTGATGACGATAATGCAGAGCACATCCTGGCAACGACATGCCATTGTAGACATACGATAGTTGGATAAACAGTTATCAATGATGATCTACTGTAGTCCTTGTTTTGTTCATTTGATGTGAACATTACATCTGCTTTAACAGCCACATCATTGAAATAATTTCCCCTTTTTTGTCAACTGCTGTGCAAACTGTGGCATTGAAGTAAAACCGGGTCACCAAGGATACCCATGTCTGTAGTTTATTCTAAAGATATGTCAAATGTCCTCATGTAATTTGACGTCTTTGTTTGTCTGTCGATACATTCAGGTAAGTTTGACTTCAAACACTGCCTTTTTACTAGAATGTGCATATGAACTCTGTAACCCATCCCGGTTACAGGTACCCAAGAGCCCTGGCTAACACACACACACACACACACACACACACACACCTGCTAGTTGGTGTAGTGTCAGTGAGTAGATCAGGAGCAGGCTCCAACATGCATTATGCTGAAGACTACTGTAGGCCTAGTTCAATAAAATAGTGAGGTTTTATTTCTGTCTATGGTGTCTGCCGGTACTTTGATCATGGTTTTCACTCCTTTGTGTGTGTTCCTCTCCTGACCCTGCTGCAGTCTGACCCCATGATGCTATGTCCATATAATAAACAGTGTACATATGTTTCCATATCAAAGAATAAGATTTATTTTTGATTCATCAATGAATGTAAATGCAATGGGAATTTAAGATAGTTTGTTTTGAAGATATGACAAAAGTAGCTACCAACTGTCAGACAAACCTGAATGTCAAGTCGTCAATAGAAAGTACCTAAACATGAGAACACTAGTTTCTGTTTCCCTCTCACAAGGGAAAGCTCATACCTGAGCAGGGGCCTATTCAGTAAGGTGACACGTTCAATCAGAATGTTGCCTATATAAATCGAATGTATGGAGTTGACACAGGCTTCTATATATTCTAAGGACAGGAAATCATGTCTGTTCTACACAATATATTTATATCTGAATGTCTTGTACCGTTTCAATGTCCTGAACAGGCTCCTGGACGGTCCTTTATCTGAAGGTCATCAGCGGAGAGTCTTTTTGAGGAAGAACAAAATGGCCGGAGTGGATTGAGTGACAGTTGCAAGACTCCGAGGGCTGTGGTCCAATCTCTCCCCTTGTGCATTTTGTTAACTTCCCCTCATTGATTGAAAAGAAATGGACTTGTCTAAGAATTATGGTGGAAACTCCCTCTGGCTTATTCTTACACCAATCCAATGCTTTTAAATCCATGAGTAGGAGTGGTCAGATGCACACTTTGTGGAGAAGAGTATAGAATTGGAGTGCAGTATTTTGAAACAGGGCATTTGTCCCTGCTTGTGCGAGAGAGAAACAGCCATGGTAGCTTAGAATGCAAATCCTGCTGATGAACTACACAAGACCGATTACGTCACAACTTTGACCAGCCATTCAAGTCTGTCGTCCATTTGTTGCAATAGAATTGGAGGGACTGCAAAATGGGAATAAGTGCTTGTGAATGGTTTGGAATTAGGTTAGATGTACATCTCTACAGTATTTTTAAATATGTACTGTATATCAAATGTCTATTGATAATGTATGTCTATAAATGGCATATTAACTATAAAGGGTCATACTTGTATTATAAACACTGACTTAGGACGCACCTGTGTGACCAACTGGGGTCAAACTCAGGTCTCCGTTACAAGGTTGGGTTGGCCTGCTGAGCTAAAGCCTAGGGTTAGCAGGGTGCTTACGCAAGTTGTCAGATCATATCAGTAAGGTTACTCATTCACATGTGATTCACACACACTATGAGCATCAACGTTCCACTTTTCAACTTTAAAGTATAGCCTAATACATACAGTCCATGCACGCACACAATCATCTGCTTGCAATAGCATAAATTCATCACTAGGCGGAGTTAGACCAATAAAAGGATGTGGATAAAATGCCCCGCTGTACAAGGGTCATGGCTAGAAGGGATCCAGCTTTTGTCAAATTAACGCCAAAAAGTTATATTTTTTAGCATTTTAGCTAATCCTAACCCTTTCCTTAACCTTTAACCTAATTCGCCTAACCTGCTACGTTAATTCTCCTAACCTGCTACGAAGTCAAATCTGACGTTAATTTGAGAAAAGCTGGATCCCTTCTAGCCATGACCCAGTACAGTTTTTTTTTCTCCTTTAGTTCATAGTTCGTGGTTATTTTGTTCATGGTCCTTTAGAGCTGGGTCAGAGCTAGCGGATCCTGTTCTTTTTTAGATCAATGATCCTGAATCATTCAGCACATTAGCAAACATCGCCATTCTAGCATCATCACCATGAAAGTAATGTCCTTGGGTCGTCTTAATTCGGTAAGTTTGCAGATGTAGGCTATCAGAGTATGGACATAGCACCTGGTTTGTATTTTTTGTTATGAGCCCATGCTTGACTCAGGACCACATTTTATCTCACGTAAACGCACCTGATCCGCCATTTTTATACGCCCTCTAGTCCTGTGTGCTTTGTATAAAAAGTGCCCCGTGCTCTCAACATGTGAGTATGGTCCCACTCCGCAATGCTTCGTTGCAAGACGGTTCCGACATTGTTAAGATAACATGTATTTGTCTACCGAGCAGCTCAATGAGCACAGACATACTGACCAAAGTGCAAAGAGGGTGATTTAAACATAGAGCATTTAAAAATGTTTTGCTACCAGATGTTGCAAAATTATTCATTTTTTCACATCTCTACATATGCTACATGATTTCAAGGGTGGTGTTTGACATTTTCCGTTGAAACATTTATTTTATTTTTGACACATCGTAATCTTCTGTTGAAAATCATTATGTAATGCTGAACCACCGGTAGACGTGTGTTGGACCTGAACGCAACCGTGACGGGACTGAACGCTGATTGGATCTCTACAGTGTCAATGCGACCTCGATTGCGGTCCAACAGTAAACACACCAGATGGCAAAGTAAAATGCGTAATCATTGCTGAATGCATTATGTGGATGGTTTATGGTAAAGTGCTACTGTTATTATATGAGTTTCAGGTATTCGATCCCAGTTTAATTGTCATCCGCACCACTCCTGATTGAACATTGTACGCCTGCGCGATGATGAAACGCGAGAAGGATCTCGTTCAGATCTCGTTGGCAGTGTCCTCCCACGCGCAGACAAGAACGTCTTTACGTTGGGGCGCATGCGTGCGTTCTCCGATTTATGTCAAGGCACAAAAGTGGCGCTATATCGTTTCAAGCTCTACTCCGGTAAGAATTTCAGAGACGATTTATTGACATTTTACGGTTAATTAGTCAAAGTTTCAACAACTAGCTCAGTTGTTAGACAGATGTCCACGGGCTCCCTTGAGTCTCCTGCTATGTTATAAAGTAAATATGTGTGACGATTTAGCAGTCAATTTGTACCCCGCCTGAGATTTTCTCCCCCTCTCTGCCGCGGCAGGGTACTAGCTATATTGCCTCCACTCTTTCGTATTGTTTCGCTCGCTCTCTAATGGCGGACGTGAGGCAGTGCTGCTTGCTGACGGAAGGGGGGCAAATTTTAGCCCATGTTGAAAATGTTTAGTTACCCCCACAGGTTTGGATTAGTGTTGTAAAAATGACACATACTGAGAGTAAATATGTTTTTAGGTCTGTTAACTATTTGATTGACACAAACAGCAGTTGGTAGATATGTAACAGTATAGCGCCCCCCTTCGGGTGGCAACGTGTATTTTCTGTGATTGCCCTGGGTAGTCTCTCTGGGGTAACTTTCCAATTAAACGTTTACGTTACACAGGTATTACAAAAACAATACATTTGTTTTGGTTTTCAGACTGTGTTGTGAAAACAAGTAATATCCACTGAATAATGATGTGTTCGCCTCAGAGCACTGTTTTCTTCTTCTAGCTATGTAGCCTATCACATTGATATTTGAAGCAGCATTGAGGATAGAAAACGTGAATAATACGTTGCTCTCAATGATTTTTGTCAGTTATGCGACTAAACATCACATGGGTCACTAATAGTCTCGAATAATTTATGATAATTTTTCTGTAAGAATGGCGCAGTCTCGTTGGCTCTCCTCCCTGCTGTTCGCCGCTAATCCATTCCGTGGAAGGCCGGGGCAGCAGAGGTGGGAACGGAACTGAACCACGTTTTGTGGTCCTCAAGTTAGATCAGTGACCCCATCTACCCCGCTCCTCTGTTCGTCAGTGGGTCTTATCGGGTATGCATGAATTATATTTGTCATCGGTCTATTATCCACCTAAAGTTTTGGACCATTCAGTCTAAGTTTTCTGAATAAAAATGATAGCAGGGCGGGTTGACATCGTTATCCGGTTGCCTTGAGAGTGGAGGAGCTGTGGTCCTCGCGATGGAACGGAGGTTCTACCCGGGTTGTGTAGTCACGGGCAAGGCCTGATATGGGGAGAGAGGGCGAGCTTTGGGCCAAATGTGGTAGTCTTTTTTTATGTATTGAGCCACATCATTGGGATCATCAGCTATTAGTAGCCCTAGACATGGGGCTTGATGGCAAGAAATGATAGGAGGCATTAGCAGTCTGTCTAGCAGGAATGGAATAGGACTGTAATTGAGTATATTCCGGTGTTTATTAGCTGCTTCACTCCGCATCAAGCATAATTCATAAACAGTGTCTTGAGCATCACATAATATGACGTAATGGTCATGATTGTAAGAGCAGAAGAGTACCAGGGACCACCCTGTGTATGATGATGGCATGGGGCATGTGCTTGTCGTAATTACGTCATACCTTAGTCACTCCCATTGACTGTAGAGGTCACTCCCCATGATCTAATTGAAATTATGCCGTTTTATCTAATTGAAATTATGCCGTTTTATCTGTACTCTGTGTTGCCTATTTGCAGATGTACGACAATGTGGCCGGTGTACTGTGTGTAACACTAATGCAGTGCTTCAGTGTTCAGTTCAAATCCTGAATGTCTCTCTAACCACACCTGTTTCTCCTTGCTGCATTTGTATCAGTGACTTGGTTCTAGCACATATTGGTCGTTTTGCTGTTTATTTTTGTTATTTTTATATGAATAATGCCTATTGTTACTCTTTATGCATAGAACCCACAACAAATACTATTTAAAGGGATACTTCGAGATTTAGGTCGTTTTTCTACTTAACCAGAGTCAGACGAACTCATGGATACCATTTTTATGTCTGCGTGTGGTTTGGAGATTATCATTTATTTGATTGATTGAATTTTTTTTGGGGGGGGGGTGTTTACCCCCCTTTTTCTCCCCAATTTTGATCTTGTCTCATCGCTGCAACTCCCCAATGGCCTCGGGAGGCGAAGGTCAAGTCATGCGTCCTCCGAAACATCACCCGCCAAACCGCGCTTCTTCACACCCGCCGCTTAACCCGTAGGCCAGGAAAACACTGTTCAACTGACGACCAAGGTCAGCCTGCAGGCGCCCGGCCCGCCACAGGGAGTTGATAGAGCGTGATGAGCCAAGTAAAGCCCCCCCCCCGGCCAAACCCTCCCCTAACCCGGATTACGCTGGGACAATTGTGCACCGCTCTATGGGACTCCCGATCACGGCCGGTTGTGACACAGCCTTGGAATGAACCCCGGTCTATAGTGACGCCTCTAGCACTGCAATGCAGTGCCTTAAACCGCTGTGCCACTCGGGATGCCCGGTTTGGAGATTATTGAAGTTAGCATATAATTAGTTTAGCGCAATTGCAGGAAGTCTCCTGGTACAGTAGCCAGCTCCTCTCAAAAGCAGGGAATTGGACCTTAACTACTCCAAAGCTGGGTGGTTGGTCATTTATAGTCTTACAAAGCTATACATAGTATTCAATGTTTTATACAATCGTACATTTGACTGATAATCATTAGAAACAAGATTCTATCCACTTCCTCATTTGCTGTCCTGTTGTCACATAGAGCTGTATAGAGGTCGCAACGTTGTATCTGTCCCATTATGGCGTCAGTGAGCACACAGGCAGCGCCAGTGAGACCGATAGAACGTTGTGATCTCTCTACATCTGTATGCGACAATGGGACAGAGCATGAGGAAGTGGGTAGAATCTCGTTTATAATGACCAACCACCCAGCTTTGGAGTAATTAGGTCTATTACCGTAAAATGGCTTCTAGCCAAAACCATTCTACAGACTAGAGCTGGGCGATATGGTTGACAAATCCATATCGATCAATTGCCTGAATGGATACGATAATGATAAATAGAACACTAAGTTTGTAACATTAATGTGCACTTTTTTTTTTTACCTACTACTACTAGTTTGATGGTACTAGCCATCAATTGTCCCATTGACAATCACCCATATTAGCGAACTTATTTCATTTCAAACTTCACATTTCTCTAGTATAGGCTTAATTGCGTCAGATGCCTGATATAGTTCTGGGGGGAGATGTGTTAGAAAATATAATAGAAGGAGGAGTGGATGCAGGGTGGTAGCTCCACCCCCCTCTCTGCATGTTTCAGGCAAGTCTATGGGCCAAATGTCCCCACACCTTCCAAAATTCGAAAGATGCGAGCACCTGCAAAATCGTGATTTATCTAAAATATCAGTGACAAAAAAATCTGCTTACCTGAACGAAGTGCCTCATTACTTGTCGCATCCCCACAGTCTGTTGACAGACGCTATGATACCATTTATGTGACCAGTGTCTCTCTTCATATAAGGAAATCAGTTAATTTAAGTAAATTCATTAGGACCTAATCTATGGATTTCACATGACTGGGAATACAGTTATGCATCTGTTGTACATCTGTGTCCGTCCAGTTGGACATTAAACATGTTCTTGATATGCCACACCTGTCAGGTGGATGGATTGTCTTGGCAAAGGAGAAATGCTCACTAACAGGGATGTAATCACATTTGTGCACAACATTCTAGATAAGCTTTTGTGCATATGGAACATTTCTGGAATCTTTTATTTCAGCTCATGAAACATGGGACCAACACTTTACATGTTGCATTTATATTTTTGTTCAGTATATGTTGTCATAACAGAATTGTCTTTGGGGGGAGTGTCCATCGCACTGATGAAAGGCTGTGCAACATTGACTGTTTATGTCTCTGTGGCAACTGCAATCTGTTGCCGTCTACAATCGTGTTTGATATAGTGGACTGAATTATACATGGACCCAAACTGGAGAATGAGTGTGGCCAGGTTGTGCTGCATCTTGGCTCCCATTTGGTGCCTAGTACTGAATGTTACCCTGGTGTCTACCTTCAGAGAACAACCAACCCCCATGGTAGTCTCCTGATCACTACGGCAACCAAGGTGTTGTATCACTTGGCATCAGAGATGGTAGAGGTGGACGAAGGGGGAGGAGAGACGGTTGCGACTGAGAGGATAGATGTGTGTGACTTTGTAGGGGGAGGTAGAGGTTTGAATGAGGAGAGGAGAACCTGGACAGAAGGCGTAGATGGAGACCAAAAGGGAAAGGAGGTACAAGGGAAGAGGGAAAGGATGAGAGGGAAGATGTGCACAGCTTGTACCTGGGATACCTGCACTCAACATGCTTATGATATTTTCTCCTAATAATCTGTGCTGTGTTTGTGTGGGTGCAGGTGGTAGCAGCCTAAACGATGGATGGGGAATCGAAGGCCAAACCTTGGGTAGAGGAGGAGAGCACAGCCACAGCCCCAGAGGAGGAACCCATAGACACAGGCGCCACTCCCTCCTCAGAGCAAACTACACCCCCCACGAGAACCCAGGCTCCTGTCACCAAGGCAATAGAGGAACCCTCCAGGGTTATGGAGAACAATGATGATGATGATGTGGTGCTGGTGGAAGAGGCCCCGCCTCCCTCAGGGAAACAGCCCCCCACCCCCTCTGCTACTCCCTCTTTCCAAGCTGGCGCCCCCACTGCCTCCACCCCCACAGACTACACTGAGCCCCGCCACCTGGAAACAGAAACCACAGCAATGGTAAACACGACAACCGCCACAGCAGCATCATTCCCCTCCAAGACCCCGAGTCCACCCGCCACCTCTTCAGCAGAGCCCATAGTCATTGACGATGAGGAGGATCCCGGGCACAGAGGCTTTTCCTCACTAGCCACAGCCGGAGGCCCCTCTTCAGACAGCGAAGGCATCCTGAGCAGCACGGAGCCCGACTCTGAGATAAAGATCGCCAGTGTCACAACGCTGGGGCCCTCTGTCGCCATGGCAGCTACAGCAGCCGAGCCAATGGCAGAAGGGGACATGAACCTGGTGATCACCAGTGTGACATCACTTCAGGGCGGAGTGGGGGGGGAGTGCATGGTGGAGAATGGCTTGCAGATCAGCAGCACCTTCAGTCTGAACCCTGAGGCCCAGAGCTCCATCAGCACCAACAGGCCCCCGGCCACCTTCAACCCTGGCCGGGTTAGCAACACCTCCACCACTAGCCAGCCTGTACAGAACGGAGACACGGGGACCCACCAGAGGCCTGGTAATAAACACGCGCTTATGATTTTCACACACATGCTGAATCATTCTGTGCTGGCTTATATTTCTTATTTTCACATTGCAGCCGTGTTAAGTCGTTTCTTCAGGTGTGCTAAAGTTTGTGTTTGTACGTGTTTTCTTTTTTCCACAGATTCGTGGATCTCCCAGTCAGCCTCGTTCCCGCGGAACCAGAAACGGACAGGGGTGGACTCTACATCACCAGCCGCATCCCTGCCCAAACCGCCCGGCCCCTCCCCCTCAGGCTCCCAGAACCCCCCTCGCACTGTCAAGGTGACCTGCGCCAATTGTAAGAAGCCTCTGAAGAAAGGCCAGACGGCCTACCAGCGGAAAGGGTCCACACACCTTTTCTGTTCCACCACCTGCCTCTCCTCCTTCTCACACAAACCCACCCCCAAGAAGAGCTGCACCATGTGCAAAAAGTAAGAAGGAAGTGTTGTTTGTGTGTGTCGCTATATCTAATTTGCTACTTTATTTTGAGTGTGTGTGCGTTAACGTGTCTTCCAGGGACATCACTACAATGAAGGGCACCATCGTGGCCCAGGTGGACTCCAGTGAGTCATTCCAGGAGTTCTGCAGTACAGGCTGTCTGGGAGCCTACGAGAACAAACAGAACCCAGCCAAGTCCTCCCTTAAAACTAAGTGCACTGTCTGCAGCAAGCTCACTGAGGTCAGTCTAGCACACTACACTAACCAATCCCAAATCGCCCCCTAGCCTCTCTACCCCTAGGCACTCCTTTTAGATCTGAAAGGATTGAATAGGTGAAATCTCTACTCAGCCTATCCGAAGACAAGGGTATCCTCTTAGATCAACAGGAGTGGTGGTATACAGCTACGACCGGAAGTTACTTTTTCGTCGCAGGTTAGGAGAATTAATGTAGCAGGTATGGAGAATTACCGTAGCAGGTTAGGAGAATTACCGTAGCAGGTTAGGAGAATTAACGTAGCCGGTAAGGAGAATTAGGTTAGGAAAAGGGTTAGGGTTAGCTAGAATGCTCTCCTAACCTGCTACAAAAAGGCAATTCCAGTCGTAGCTGTACTCCATCTAGTCACAACTGTGGGTAGGGGTCGATTTAGGGACTGAGTAAATGAGATGCGTTCCACTCACTCTCCCTCCAACATGGCTGCCGACGGCACAGTTTCTCATCCGCTGTGTCTGTCCAAGCGTTGAGCCTGGTGACCATGGTTACTGCATGGAAAACAGTTGGCATCAAAATGAAGCGTGGTTCCCATCTCACAATAGAGTATTTATAAACAACCCCAATGACACCAACCAGCCACCAGCTAGAATCTCACACCGATCTCACCACTTGCCAGAGTATTCATTCACTATGATTGATTTATAACAATATATGGTAAAATATAATTATTTATATTCCCTTTCCTCATAACAGATCCGCCATGAGGTGAGTTTCAAGACGGTCACCCATAAGATCTGCAGCGATGCCTGTTTCAACCGTTATCGCATGGCCAACGGGCTCATTGTGAACTGCTGTGAGCAGTGTGGGGAATACCTGCCCAGCCGCGCGACCGCCAACCACTTCCTCATCATCGATGGCAAGCAGAAACGCTTCTGCTGCCAGAACTGTATCAGTGACTACAAGCAGGTAACAACTACAATGTATCAGGGACTACAAGCAGGTAACAACTACAATGTATCAGGGACTACAAGCAGGTAACAACTACAATGTATCAGGGACTACAAGCAGGTAACAACTACAATGTATCCGGGACTACAAGCAGGTAACAACTACAATGTATCAGGGACTACAAGCAGGTAAAAAGCCAGGCTGTTTTATCCAGTCTCTCCCTGACACTGGGAGATTTGTAGATTTTTTTCTATTTGTTTCTATTGGTCCATATCTGCTGGTAATTGTTAACAATAAAATCAGCCTTAGGTGCTATTCATGATTTATGTTATGGCTACAAATATTTGTATTCCCTTATTCCTCCAGGCCAACTCTAAGATGGTGATGTGTACTGGCTGTAGGGCCATGGTCAGGTCTAGTGAAGTCACTCACTGCATCGGGGCCAGCGGCACCATGGAACCGTACTGCTCCACAGCCTGCGTGAGCAAGACCAAGCTCGCCAGCAGCGCTACCACTATCCTCCGTCAGTATTTGTCTATACCTCACCATCAGAGCATCACTGTACTCCATTTTCACTTTATTACTTGAATTCCAGTTCCTGAATTAAACCTTGTCTCACACATATTAGAGCATACCACTCTCACTCTCCAGTGAGCCCACATCTTACGTCATTCACACTGACTGTTGGTGTGGTTGCTTTGATGTGTGTGATGTGGTTGTCAAAGTTGTTTTATTTTTCTCTGTGTACATATGCATGGGGGTGTGAGTCCAGCACAGCAAGTACTATAATAAAGGTGCTGGTACTTACTTAAATTTGACCATACCGTGTGTAGGAAGGTTATGTGGTAAGTGGGTGTTTTGTGTTTGTTCCTTTCTGCAGACTCGGAGCCCACGTGTCACTTCTGTAAGAAGACATCGTTACCTCAGTACCAGGCATCGCTGCCTGAGGGGAAGGTCCTAAACTTTTGCAGCTCAACGTGTGTCACCAAGTACCAGGTATGTACTAACTCCTTTCTGTCTTTATTATTGTAAATATCACCTTAACCGGGACATTTGAATAAGAATTCTAAAAGCCTACTTATAGTTAGGTTTCACGTTAGAAAGTGCAGTGCAATTAAACAATATGAGTCCCTGACTGTCTGGGGACCTTATCTGGTTGTCTTCTCAAGGAAATGTTTTTCTTTCTTCAGAATTCCACCATTCATACAGTAACCAATGGACAGGCTCCCCTGTCTACAACGAACCACAACATCCAGCTCAAATGTAATTACTGTCGAGGAGCATTTAGCCTAAAGCCTGAAATCCTGGAGTGGGAGGTAAATTCACTTTGTGGTCATGAACTTGGTTTATATAACACAATTATATTACGTTTTTAGTTGTAGTCTTTTTTTGGTTCTCAAAATTGAGCATAAAAGTTAAAAGACTGAGTGTACATGCTCCACTTATCCCTCTGTGTGCAGGAGAAATATCAAGTGGTCAGATCTCTATAAAATATGCAGGAGCATTCAACAGTGTGTTGGTATCTATTCTCTCCCCCCAGGATAAAGTGTACCAGTTCTGCAGTAAGATATGTTGTGAGGACTACAAGAAGCTGCACTGCATCGTCACGTTCTGTGAGTACTGCCAGGAGGAGAAGACGCTCCATGAGACAGTCAAGTTCTCCGGAGTCAAGAGGCCCTTCTGCAGCGAAGGTTCGCCAAGGCTCTCACTCCTTCATCTGTGTCCTTGTTAGCTAGTCGGTTTTGATTGTGAGAGAACCCAGAGTGAACACTCGGGGTGAATAATATTGTCCTCATCCCATATTTCTTCATGGCCTTGCCATGTTCTGCCACTAGATGGGGCACTTTACCCAGACCAAACATGAGTTGAGCTAAAGTTTGTCTGTCAGGTGAGCGTTGACATCATGTAACCTCCTTAAAGTTGTTGTCCCTATTTCCCCTCAGGTTGTAAGCTGCTGTTCAAGCAGGACTTTGCCAAGCGGCTGGGTCTGAAGTGTGTCACCTGTAACTACTGCACTCAACTGTGTAAGAGAGGAGTGACCAGGCAGCTGGCCGGGGTGTCCAGGGACTTCTGCAGTGAAACCTGCGCCAAGAAGTTCCACGAGTGGTACTACAAGGTCAGAGTGCCAACCTAAATCAGTTTAGCTGTGAAAAATCATATTCCTGAGTTAGTCAATTATTACTTATTTTTATGTTATTCTCAAAATTGTCTCCAGAGGTTGATTTGATCAATCTCTTACATGAAAGGTGTTTGTGTGTACGTTTCCCTGTATGTCCACCAGGCGGCGCGTTGTGACTGCTGTAAGGTGCAGGGGAACCTGACTGAGTCGGTACAGTGGAGAGCAGAAATGAAGCACTTCTGTGACCAGCAGTGTCTCCTCCGCTTCTACTGCCAGCAGAATGAACCCAACCTGGCAACGCAGAAGGGCCCAGAGAACACCAGACTTGGTACTAATTTGTGTGTGTTTAGTCTTTTTTTTTTTATACAAATACATCTGTGTGGTTGACTTATGGAACCCTGTTTTCTATTGACAGGATTTGGAATACAAACCGAGGCAACCAACATTGCGGTAAGAAAAAACCACTTCATGTTAGAACACCAGAATCGTCACAGCACGGCTGACTGTAAGGTAAACAAGATCATCCTCCTCCTTTAACAAGGATCATCTCTTATCCTTTCTATCTACTAGATGTTGAGTCAGCCGTACACCGGTGGAGGGATCCTAAAGGACGTGAAGAATAAAGCTGTACTCTGCAAGCCTCTCACTATGACCAAGGCCACCTACTGCAAACCACACATGCAGAGCAAGCTCCTACAGACAGGTACACAGCTCAATATTACTGTCTGAGAAGTTGTGGTTCAAACTGTACAGGACGTTATCTCCCACAGTCGTGTTTCATTGTCCTTGGTTTGACCTTTGACCTGTGTGTCTGTCTCTAGATGAGGATGACGGGGTGAAGAGGGAGTACATTCCTGTGCCTATCCCTGTACCCGTGTTCATCCCCGTCCCCATGAACCTCTACGCCCAGATCACACCCATGTCTATCACACTACCCGTCCCGGTAAGAAACGCCCTGGGCTCCTTGGAACCAATAGAATAGCCCCAAAAGTGCAAATTCCAAATAATTTCGAGCAGAAGTGTGTCCGACGATTAGAACTCTATTGCTGTTCACGTTCTGAAATTGTATGATTGGTATTTTGTAAATATGAGGACAACTATGAATCACGTTCCCGTTATGAAAATAATAAGGTGGAGTGGGTATTGACTCTGTCGAGTCTTACAAGTATTTAACACATGAACAGTCCCTAACCAACCAGTTGTCCCCGTCCCCCGCCCTCCTATCCCAGGTTCCAGTGCCGATATTTCTGCCGACCACGCTGCAGGGTGCAGAGCAGATTGTCCAGACCATCAACGAGCTGAAGGCCAAAGTCCCCACTGACCCCCACGAGGCTGACCTCCTCTCCATGGCTGAGATGATCGCAGAGGACCAGAAGCCAGGTAGAGAGACACACACGCATAGAGAAAGAAAGCTGGATACCACATCCACAGTTTGCATGTTCCAAACGTGCAAACTCAAAGCATTACTCAAATACTGTCAAGTGTGTCTGATGATTAGAACTCTATTGCTGTTCACATCCTGAAACTCTGTGATTTGGTATTTTGTTATATGAGGACATGAAACAAACCATGAAGCTTTATCCATGACTACCGGTATGTGTCTTTGTCTACCTGAATGGGAAGCACCTCTCTGCCTCATCACTGCAAGCTGCCACAGTTATGAGGTTGATTGTTGTGACTCTTTCAGATGTGAAGGTGAAGAGGGAGCGAGGAGAGGCCAGGTCCAGCAGCTCGAGTAGCAGCGGCTCTGAATCAGAGGCTGAGGAGGAGAAGTATGAACCAGACCTGGACCTGGAGAACGACTTTCCTCAAGGTACGACTACTGAACAACATCCGACCACCCTGACTCTGTGAGACACTTTCTAGTGCTGTCCTTCTCTATTGGGTAAAATTAGATTATTTAACTGCTCTCTGTACAGTGGAGAGGTGTTACGCAATATCACAGGTCACATGGTTGTGTGTTTTTATATTATGGAACAGTACAGTAATTCAGGTAAATTCCTCTGGGGTTATTTCTGGACTGCCTGCTCGTTAGACTCGTCACTCCTATCGGACAAAGGGATTTTTTATTATTTATAATCTGAAGTGGATTCAGAAGGACCGGTATCGGACCTAGCTAATAAAGGAATATAAAATAATAATAATAATAAAGAACCTAGCTAACTGCGGCAGTGACCAGCAGCACTGGACTATGTGTTCAATAGAGAGAAGCTAGTTATGTAACTGCTGTTTGATGATTTAATTCACCCCCACTGGTAAGGGCCAGTAGCTAATTCACTCATTCACATCCCTCCATCTGTCTGGCTCAGTTTGGCACAGTTCGGTTCAGCTCTGCCCGGTTCACTTTAGCTCTGTCCAACTCAGTCTGGTGGGCTTTGACTTGGCTCATCCCTTACCTGTGTCTGTTTGTCCTGTGGTGCCCCAGACCCTGTTCCCACGCTGGAGAGTCTGGACGTGGACATGGGGTTCACCCTGCCCCCTCTCCTGGCTGAGGAGAAGGAAGTGGCACCCAGAGCCAGGAGACAGGTACACTACTCTACCCACCCTGACTAGTGTTGTCACGATACCAACATTTCGCAAACTATACGATACCAACATTTTACAAACTATACGATACCACGGTGGGAAAAAATCAGTGGCCTACCATCTTGTTCGCCCCGTACACTTGTTCCCGTTTTCTAAACGTTCTCTGTCACTGAAATTCACACTTCTACTCAATACAACACATTGCATTTAACTTCACACTGTTCACTGTATAATAGAATGCTGCATAGAATGGCTGATTTGCTCATATGTCCAAAGGCCTACCTGTGATTTGGCTGGAGGAATGGGAGGAAGGAGTATACATGCATAATGATCTGCATGTCATTGTGTCAGTAAGGGGAAAACACTGCATGAAACCTTCTTCTTTACTGTTCAGTTAACAGACACACACACACACACACACACACACTCTCCCTTCCTCACACACTCTGTCTCCCTTACTGTTCAGTTAACAAACACACATACACACACTGCTCCCAACTTTTAAAACGTTAGGCACCAAACAGAATTTAAGGAGCACCGGAAAAGGCCTATATGAACCCTACCTTTGAACCACATCTCATGAGTAGCAGACCCTTTTCCTTTCTTCCTGGGCCAATCAAATGTGCCTAAACCTAGTGTCAAGTTACCAGGTTGTTAGCTAACTAGGTAACATGACTGTTTTTTATTAAACCAATAATTAGCAACCCGGGATTAGTTTAAAACGGCCCGTGACATGGTTTTTGAAATTATATAAAATGTTTGCGAATCCCAATAGAAAGAAAAAAAGGCATCTCTGTTAAAATGGGTCGTATTCTTTTAACTGTTTAGGCTAGAGACAAGCCGTTTTCTTTGTTGTAAAGCTGCAAGCATGCCTGTCACCTAGCGGTGCTCCATTTCCCCTCTCTGACACTCAGAGGCTGCATGACAGTGAACTTGCAAAGTCTACTCAGACTGGTCTGTGCTCTTGGTTACAACAGGCGATTAAATTATACAATGTATCAACATTGCTGGCTTTGCGCACTGCTCCAATGTAACAAATGTACAAATCTAACGACAGAAGACTCGTCTGGGTCTGCATCCCCATCCCCGCTCGCCATCACTGCTAAATTATATTTTAAAAAACTGACGGAGGAATAGATGTGCATGAATCCCACCCCTTACCCTAAACCAGATTCGTATCCCGTCCCCGTCCCCTTATCCTAAACCTGGTTCGTATCCAAATCCTAACCCTACCCATACACTGATACATCACACTCTTTCCCTTCTTGGAGCCCACCTCTCTCTTTATTCATGTTTTGTTATTCATTTCTGTAATTGTAAAGCCACTTTGGGTCCTTGAAAAGCGCTATATAAGTCCCATGTATTATGAAAAGCGGACGGAGAGAAGCAGGTGAGTGAGGGCTGGTTGGGGATGCGGCTGGCTGATTTACAGCTGCCACACGTGATATGCGCATGAAAGTGAAGTGGACATTATTGGACCTGCGCATACAAGAGACTAGTGGCTGTTGCTTAAATTCAACAGAGTTTATAAACAAAACTGACTTTATAGACATTTTATAACAGGCGCCAGCAGGTTCTTTAGATCGGTAGGGCTGACAAATTCGGTAGTATGATATGAAACGGTACTACAGTATTCTAAAATGTTGGTATCATAAGGATCATGACGTTTCGGTACCGTGGTATTACTGTGGTACCGGTATACCATGCAACACTAACCCTGACCCCTTTCATCTAGCTACTAGCTCCAATTGGAAGCAGAAGTGTGTCTGATGATTAGAACTCTATTGCTGTTCACATCCCGAAACTCTGGATTTGTTATTTTTCATATGAGGACATGAAATAATAAGCCATGATGGAGAGGAACATATAAACATCTTGAAAAAACGTTTACTAAAAACAGTCTGCCATCATTAAACACAATAGAAAAATTAAGTTATTACTTAAATATTGAAAGTGTGTGGGCTACTGTTTTTATAAAATTAAAATCATGCAAAAAAAAAATAGTGGATAAGGTCTCCCACACGAAGGCTTCTACCGAGACATTACCAGTCTCATTCGTAGGAGATGTTTGTTTTAGGGACACAAGAGGCGAGCTGTAGAGGGAGACCCTTCCTCCCCCTCTCCCCCTACGCCAGACGGCCCTGTGGAGGGGCGCTCGCTACCCCTGAGATCTCGCTACGGGGTCAACGCCTGGAAACGTTGGGCGTTGTCCTCAGCTGACCAATCAGGTGACGATAAAGGGAAAGACTACCTCAAGCAGGGTGAGTAAGCTCCACCCACAGCAATTATTATCGTACAGTAATTGGAACCATTGGACTTTCTGTATGAAAGGTGCTATATAATTAAGTTGCTAAGCGATTATAATTATTTGTCCTCAGAACCTCCACCGGCCCGGTCGAAGAGTAACCCGCTCTCTCTGAAAGCATCAGAGCTCAGCCTGGCCCTGTCACGGTTTGTCCATGAGGTACGGCGGCCAAACGGAGAACGCTATGCCCCTGACAGCGTCCTCTACCTCTGCCTGGGCATCCAGCAGGTCAGTCACCCCCTTCTCGGTCGACTTCTGTGGCCTGGTTTCATTTCAGTGTGTAGCCCTTCGCTCCTACCCATTCAGACCGTGTTCACAGATCTGACAAGACATGGATAGGTGAAAGCAATATGGTGGAGGTTCTGTCTTAAGGCTGATCCAGTATTATATAGATCTATGAACATCAACTGAATAGGTGCTAGGGACCAGAATGGCTCCAGGCCCACATTCGGGGAGTTTCTCCCATTCTCTGCAGATCCTCTTAAGCTCTGTCAGGTTGGATGGGGAGCGTCGCTGCATAGCTATTTTCCGATCTCTCCAGAGATGTTCGATCGGGTTCAAGTCCGGGCTCTGGCTGGGCCATTCAAGGACATTGAGACTTGTCCCGAAGCCACTCCTTTGTTGTCTTGGCTGTGTGCTTAGGGTTGTTGTCCTGTTGGAAGGTGAACCTTTGCCCCAGTCTGAGGTCCTGAGCAAGGTCCTGAGCACTCTGTACTTTGCTCCGTTCATCTTTCCATTGATCCTGACGAGTCTCCCAAGTCCCTGAAAAATATCCCCACAACATGATGCTGCCACCACCATGCTTCACCGTAGGGATGGTGCCAGGTTTCCTCCAGATGTGACGCTTGGCATTCAGGCCAAAGAGTTCAATCTTGGTTTCATCAGACCAGAGAATCTTGTTTCTCATGATCTGAGAGTCCTTCAGGTGCCTTTTGGCAAACTGCAAGCGGGCTGTCCTGTGCCTTTTACTGAGGAGTGGCTTCCGTCTGGCCACTCTACCATAAAGGCCTGATTGGTGGAGTGCTGCAGAGATGGTTGTCCTTCTGGAAGGTTCTCCCATCTCCACAGAAGAACTCTGGGGCTCTGTCGGAGTGACCATCAGGTTCTTGGTCACCTCCCTGACCAAGGCCCTTCTCCCCCGATTGCTCAGTTTGGCCGGGCGGGCATCCCTAGCAAGAGTCTTGGTGGTTCCAAACTTCTTCCATTTAAGAATGATGAAGGCCACTGTGTTCTTGGGGACCTTCAATGCTGCAGAAATATTTGGGTACCCTTCCCCAGATCTGTGCCTCGACACAATCCTGGTTGCCTACATGAAGTAAGAAAACATGTAATGTAACATCTAATTAGGGTCACTTGGAAACACTAACCAACATTTTGGTTCCTACCCTGTCGAATGAATTAATTACATTTTATTTTTGTGTCAAATCGCTAACTGGCAACCCATCCCTTATGGGATTAATTGACACAAACAAACATTACAATAATTCAATTATAATTATTTTGTCAATAATTCCTCCTTGGTTTATTCATTCGTTGTCATGTCAAACAACAATGTATTCAAGGTGCTGCCCACTATATTCCAACTATAACATTTCCATAATTCCAACAGTTCACCTAGGCCTATATTTTTTAGCCCATATCATGCTGCGTGGCACAGTGTGGAAATGATAATAAAAGTGCTGGGGGGATTTTTTGTGAGGGGGATTGAACAGTAAGTAGAAATGGAGAAAGACCAATTTTTTAAAATCACTTATAATGTATGTGTTGTCACCTTAGGGTCATGAACTACTCATAAAGAATATTTAGAACTTCTATTATTAAAAAACATAAAATACCGTCAAGCATAATATTTTGTCCATATCGCCCAGCCCTAGAAAATGGTGTTGTGAAGTAGATTCTCTCAGGAGCAGGAACAGACCCCTCTATTTCTCACCGCTCTCCTTTCATCTTACCTCCTCTATTGCCCCTCCCGTCATTTTTTAAAGTCTTGTCCGATGATTATAACTTTTGCTGTTCACATCCTGAAACATGGTGTTGACTATTTAAAATATGAGGACACCATCTATATTCTTCACAATCTCATAACCAGGTCTAGGTTTGGATTCCCACAAGATTTTACTCTAGTCCAGTTATTCTCTACTGGTGACTTATTACTTGTTTGTCTGTAGCATCTGCAGGCCAAAGGCAGGAAAGATGACCTGTTCAGTGACCTGTGCTACGAGCCGTTTGGAGAGGAGCTCAACAAGGTCCTCAAAGACTGGCAGCCCAGCGTGATGCCTGATGGTAAATAAATAGCGCACACTTTACCACTGCTCAATTTACATGTCTATCAACTGAATTATCTTCAGCACACACTCCATCTATGCTGTTTATGGTAATAGTTTTACCATAAAGTGTATGTTTTGAACTGCAACTCCTCCATTGAAGACCTTCCCGCAGTGTCCAATGATTAGAACAATTTTTGCTGTTCACATTCTGAAACATAGTGATTGCACAATATTTATGATATGAGGACACTATAGACATGATCAATTTAAAACCCACATTCAATTGAAGCAGGGTTCATACCTTGTACCTTTTGTGTGTGGATCAGTGTTTGTGTTAATGTTAGGTCCAGAGGTAGTGTATCGTGATCATTGTTGTTAACAGCTGTGTGTCTGTCTGTGCCCCCAGGCTCTCGGTGGGGCCGTGTGGAGGAGCAGTGCCTGTGGAGCTGTAAGCTGCTGGGGGAGCAGAGTCCTGCAGCATTGCTGCGCTCCCTGGTCTATCTCAACACCAAGTACTTTGGCCTGCGCACCGTGGAGCAGCACCTGCGCCTCTCCTTCAAGAATGTCTACGGCCCCGACCACACAGACCCAACCACACAGGAAACCACCATCTGCATCCGCATCCCTTCCATCTCCTCACCAGACCACCACTGTGAGTCTGACCACTAAAACACACACACACACACACTCTTGTGGTCGAGTCCATCTTTTTATCAGCATTTCCGTTGTCTATTTTTGTGCCAGGGTGCCTGTCATGTTGTTAATACTGTCTTTTTGTCTCTGTGAGCAGTACAAACAGGGTCCAGGAAGAGGAAACGTAAGGAGGACAGTGACGCGGCCTACGAGCCAGACGACGGCTCGGGAAGCTCCACACACTGTCCAGTCAAAAAGCACGAGGGCAGATTCTATGAACTCTACCGTTCCAAGTGGTGAGTCACTCTGCTCTTCTAAACTCAGCAAAAAAAGAAACGTTCTCTCACTGTCAACTGTGTTTATTTTCAGCAAACTTAACATGTGTAAATATTTGTATGAACATAACAAGATTCAACAACTGACACGTAAACGGAACATGTTCCACAGACTTGTGACTAACAGAAATTGAATAATGTGTCCCTGAACAAAGGGGGGGTCAAAATCAAAAGTAACAGTCAGTATCTGGTGTGGCCACCAGCTGCATTAAGTACTGCAGTGCATCTCCTCCTCATGGACTGCACCAGATTTGCCAGTTCTTGCTGTGAGATGTTACCCCACTCTTCCACCAAGGCACCTTCAAGTTCCCTGACATTTCTGGGGGGAATGTCCCTACCCCTCACCCTCCGATCCAACAGGTCCCAGACGTGCTCAATGGGATTCGCTGGCCATGGCAGAACACTGACATTCCTGTCTTGCAGGAAATCATGCACAGAACGAGCAGTATGACGGGTGGCATCATCATGCCCAGAGGGTAATGTCAGGATGAGCCTACAGGAAGGGTACCACATTAGGGTGGAGGATGTCTTCCCTGTAACACACAGCGTTGAGATTGCCTGCAATGACAACAAGCTCAGTCCGATGATGCTGTGACACACCGCCCCAGACCATGACGGACCCTCCACCTCCAAATCGATCCCGCTCCAGAGTACAGGCCTCGGTGTAACGCTCATTCCTTCAACGATAAAGGCGAATCCGACCATCACCCCTGGTGAGACAAAACCGTGACTCGTCAGTGAAGAGCCAGTCCTGTCTGGTCCAGTGACGGTGGGTTTGTGCCCATAGGTGACGTTGTTGCCGGTGATGTTTGGTGAGGACCTGCCTTACAACAGGCCTACAACCCCTTAGTCCAGCATCTCTCAGCCTATTGCGGACAGTCTGAGCACTGATGGAGGGATTGTGCGGTCCTGGTGTAACTCGGGCAGTTGTTGTTGCCATGCTATACCTGTCCTGCAGGTGTGATGTTCGGATGTACCGGTGTTGTTACACGCACGTGGTCTGCCACTGCGAGGACGATCAGCTGTCCGTCCTGTCTTCCTGTAGTGCTGTCTTAGGCGTCTCACAGTACGGACATTGCAATTTATTGCTCTGGCCACATCTGCAGTCCTCATGCCTCTTTGCAGCATGCCTAAGGCACGTTCACGCAGATGAGCAGGGACCCTGGTTATCTTTCTTTTGGTGTTTTTCAGAGTCGGTAGAAAAGCCTCTTTAGTGTCCTAAGTTTTCATAACTGTGACCTTAATTGCCTACCGTCTGTAAGCTGTTAGTGTCTTAACGACCGTTCCACAGGTGCATGTTCATTAATTGTTTATGGTTAATTGAACAAGCATGGGAAACAGTGTTTAAACCCTTTACAATGAAGATCTGTGAAGTTATTTTGATTTTTACAAATTATCTTTGAAAGACAGGGTCCTGAAAAAGGGACGTTTCTTTTTTTTGCCGAGTTTATAACTTCGACTTCCTCATGTGGTCAATTGCAACTTCCCTTAATACATTCCATGCATTTATTAGTTAATTTGTCAGGGACCACTGCACAACGAATATATTGGACCAAATGTAGCTACATAACTATAATTTGTGGTCATTCCTCTCTCTGCAGCCCGGGGTCGTTGAGGCAGCGTATGGACGTGTTCTATGTGCAGCCAGAGGCATCGGGCAGCAGCCGTGACAGTGACAGCTCCCTGTGGTTCTCCTCTACTCCTCTGGACCGCAGCGTTCTGGAGAGCATCCTCACCCCTCTACTCCTGGTCAAAGACATCTACAGAGAGCGCCATCTAGAAGAAGAGGAGGAGGTAGGCGGGGAATAGAGTCCACTCTTCCTCCATCACAGAGAAGAGGAGGATTAGGGGGTCCTCTTATCCTCCATGTTCCATCCGCAACAACATTACAACTGGGTTGCTGCATTATCTGTTAGTTATTCCACCATTTCACACCGATCTCAGGCCAGCTGTGAGCGTACAGTGGATGTCCGGTTGGAAGGGACTGCACATGCCCAGAGCTGATCGGAGGACCGTGTTTCCCTGAAGGGCCAAGGAAAGGGACTCTGACTGCGTGTAGCTAGCGTATTGGAGTGTGTCGTGTGAAAAGCCATTCACCATGAACTGTTGCCCTTCCTTCCTTCCTTCCATAGGGGAACTCTGTCCACGTGATGTAGCATTATTTACTAAGCCCAGATTGGGCTGCTATGCTGTGTAAATATTTCTGAAAGTTAAAAGTAGTGGACGGGAAGAGACAGCGAGACATCCACCAGAAATGCCCACTGAATCCTCCTCCCCTTTGACCCCCAGAAGCCTTTTAAAGATGAGACATTTATTTATTGCGGTTGATTGATTGGTTCTATTGTACGTTTGTTCTTTGTACGCCGGGATGTGATGTGTTCGATTGTGCCATTTTCCTCTCCTCCATTAAGAGCATTAATTAGTTGATTTAATTAAATCTGCTGCAGCCTGGAGCTCTCCTGTGTCTCTCTTTCCCTTGTCTTTGCCCTTTGGGGGGCGGTAGTGGTGGCTGTAGGGGTACTGTCTGGGGCTTCAGAGGAGTTGTAGGTACAAGAATGAAGGAGATGGTATCCTGCCTAAAGACTACATTTTGAAATACTATATTTTGTCAAATTGAATCCCATTTGTATTTTGTTTTGTCTCATTTAAGCTATTTGATGTTTATTATTTAGTTGAAAACGTAGCACTTGATAATGGGTGTTGAATTACTCCCAGCTAATGAGTGATAATCTGTTAACATGTCAACAACAAACTGTTTCTGTTGTAACTAGGGTGGACAGATCTCTTTCAGGATTAGCACATTATAGACATGCCTGGTGACGTTTCCCAAATGTACTCCATCTCCAGGCATCCAAGTTACACTAGAAAGCTCTGCATTTATTTTATTTATGTTTTTTTACAGTTTCACTTTTACGTCTTCTTTGTATTATTTTCTATCAATAAATTACACAAGCGAATACCTCGTTTTTACGTTGACTTCTGAATAGGATTTTGTTTTTTCCGTTTTCGTTGAATGGCACCTGCCTTGCCTATTGACGTCCATGTAATGTCTGGAGACTACGCTTCGAGGCTGGAGGATGTCTGGAAAGAGCCTGTCAAGGAAAGGAAAGGAGTCACGGTTGGTTCTGTGACTGACCGGCTGGCTCTGAAGCCTAATGTGAATGTGCCTATCTGTGTGTACTGAACGTGTACGTGTAACTTCACGCGAGGTTGATGCAGTGTGTGGGCTGATATGACAAAATAAATCATTTCATTTCTTAATGTGTTTCCTCTTACATTGCTTACAAAGTTCTGAAGTTCTCTATGTGGGAGATGGTGTTCACTTTTGTGAATATGTGTGATATGTCCATGTGAGTGCGGCCTCACTGGTTCTGTCAGTGGCATAACACTGGGGCTCTCGCCTGTAGTCGTGGTAACTTGTTTTTTGTGTTGCAAGGTGACCGGCAGACAGCCCACTGATGAAGGCCCTTATCTATTAGGTGGCAGACAGAGGGGGCATAAAGGGGTGACGCATGTCAACAACTCGCCCAGGAAAAGAGGCTGGGGGATCAATCACATGACAGGAAGTGACGTAAACCCACTGGGCACAGACGTCAATTCAACGTCTATTTCACGTTGGCTCAATGTAATTTCATTGAAATGACGTGGAAACATTGTTGATTTATCCAGTGTGTGCCCAGTGGGGAGTAGTGACAAGTATCAAGTTTAGGAAGCTTGGCATTCCATTCCTATTTTCTCTCAGTGAATTGATATGGACAATTCCACGGTAAAACAATGATTGCGAAGTTAAACAAACCATACAACTTTATGCACATGAATGACTTAACATTTTCCACAGATTACTTTAACAAAAACACATTTACTTGAACTGTGCAGATGTAACGTTTGGTAACAGAATGACAGCACAAACTGTAATTCTGTTACCAAACTTTACACTGTTCTTCAAGCAAATGTTTTTGTAAAATTGTCAGTGGAAATTGTTAAAACTAGTCCTTGTGCATAGAGTTGTATGGTTTGTTTAACTTTACCGTTATTGGTTTTTGTTTCACATACATTGTAAAGAAAAAAATCTCAGCATCACTCTTACCATGGAATTGCCCATATGTTCATGTCTTTCCATACAATATCATAATGATGGCGACGTTCTGATAAATCATCCATTGTTCGATGTAAAGGGATTGGGGTCAACTCGGGAAGTGAATTGAAATTCAAAAAATCTTTTCCATGACATGTCATTCCTGTTCAGTGTTCATATTGTTGTTGAATATATGTTCCCAATAGGGGGCGCTATATGCCATGAGCATGCACGTGCTCCATTGACCAGTGCATAGAGGGGCAGATGCTGCCTAAACTCTTGATTCATGAATATCACAACACAAGGCCTTGTTAAAATAATACCCATCATTCCCCACATGAACACTGCTATGCTGAGCTCCACGACAGGGGTGTCTGAAAGGGGCTGCAGTGTTTCCCCTGTGTGTGACTGACGTAAGGCCTTAATGGCCATCCCACCAGAATTTCAGAGGTCATAGACCCCTGTAACCTCCCCCACTATCAGTGCTAAATCTATCTAGAAATCTTAACCTTTTAAAGGATCAAGCATAAACTTGAGGTGTTTAAACAGGCCATTTCATCATGAGCATTATGACAAAGGTATGACAACCCCTTTATTTATTTTTTTGAAGAGGCAGCTTTTTTATTTTCTATCGGTTAGAGTTGGCCAGACTCCAATAACTTGTCCCATTGATCTAAAGCTAAAACGGCCCTGTGCGCACAGCCAGACCTGCGAGAGAGCGGGCCGGGTGTAAAAACATTTTTCACCCTCTTGTTTTTTTTTTGTTTGGGCTCAATCCCCGGTTCTTTCAGGGGGCATAAAGGAAGCGCTGCGCTCAGCAGGGTCATGTGGGCAAACCCTGCAGCCCAGGCGAGGTGCAGACTATAGGTGGTGATTAGGGCCTCTAATGTGTGATGAATCCTTTTCGAATCACATGATATGAACTAATGTCGCCATTTAATTATAAAACAACAGAGTGGGAGGGGGTGAAGAGCGTACAGCTGCACCAGACCATAGAGGGGGGGGGGGGGGGTGGAATGGATGACAACTGCATTTCTAACGTTTTGTGCTCCAACACATGCCTCATACCCCAGTGAAGAAAGATTCAAAAAGCTCAGGGGGACTGATAGAAAGATATTAAAGTTAAACACCTGAAAACGTTTTGAGCTTTTGCCTCATTGTCAATCCTCAACAATACTGTATCTGACAGTAGCTGTTTTCTCAGCGTTATTTGCTCCCTGTGTAAATTATGGATGGTTTAGTTTGTCCTTCCCATTGGCCCAAAGAGTGGGTGAAAATACTTGAATTGTCTTTGATGGACAGGATAGTGTCCACCTCCATAACACAGCCCTCTAACCTTGGGAGCTGGTTTTAAAGGCTGGCTTTCAATAGAGGGTTGTCGGGGGTGGATTAAGTTACATTTAGGATGACCTATCCTTATTTGGGGGACTCAGGGAAGCAGTGGGCGTAGCCCTCCAACAAACACACACACAGTTCTCTCACTCAATCAGGGAGTTTTCATACTCGGACTGAGAGAAGGGCACTATGATACCCTGGCTCTGCCTGTAGGAGTCTCTGTTGAGATCAGTGCCCCTCTGCTCATTCCCATGTTCCCACATCTCTGTCACTGGGATCTTGGATGTGTTGTCATCTTTACCTCAGGTTCTCATGACAAGCCCCTCTTTCTCATGGACAGTCCCTATTGGATGCACTGTTTGGCCACACTGTAGAAAAGTCACAGGACATTAAGCACTCAATACCAGGGTTAGGATCTATCCATTTTCAGTTCAGTCTATTCATGAATAGAAAATGGCACATTATTTTCTATGTGGATACTATTCATGAATCAAATTTAATTTAACTTTCTGAATTGACAGAATTAAAAATGGAATGCATTATTTGGCCACACTGTTTTAATGTCTTCACTATAGGTTTAATTAACATCATTGTTTAACCCCTCATTCTCTCTCTCACACGCACACATTCGTACCCACACACACCCTGTCACAGAATTCTGAGGCCTTGTAATAGAAGCTGATGTCTGTGGGAAGGCTATTACAGGCCCCATAAAAACATCCAGGGCACAACTGAAATAAACAACGGGGGTACTGACTGATTGATTGACTGACTGACTGGCTGACTGAAGTATTCGGACTCTGGAGCCAGTGTGAATTTGTTAGGTGATTAAAGGCTATAAATAACTGCTGTCTGTTTTAGGCCCTGGGTCTCTGTGCCCTGGCTGCATGCAGAGCAGCCTTCACCCTGCAGACCCATGCCAACCCACCAGCAATCTACCAACACTCCTCAGCCATGGGACCCTGTACTCCAGCACCTACAGTGGGGGAAAAAAAGTATTTAGTCAGCCACCAATTGTGCAAGTTCTCCCACTTAAAAAGATGAGAGAGGCCTGTAATTTTCATCATAGGTACACGTCAACTATGACAGACAAAATGAGGAAAAAAAATCCAGAAAATCACATTGTAGGATTTTTAATGAATTTATTTGCAAATTATGGTGGAAAATAAGTATTTAGTCAATAACAAAAGTTTCTCAATACTTTGTTATATACCCTTTGTTGGCAATGACACAGGTCAAACGTTTTCTGTAAGTCTTCACAAAGTTTTCACACACTGTTGCTGGTATTTTGGCCCATTCCTCCATGCAGATCTCCTCTAGAGCAGTGATGTTTTGGGGCTGTCGCTGGGCAACACGGACTTTCAACTCCCTCCAAAGATTTTCTATGGGGTTGAGATCTGGAGACTGGCTAGGCCACTTCAGGACCTTGAAATGCTTCTTACGAAGCCACTCCTTTGCCCGGGCGGTGTGTTTGGGATCATTGTCATGCTGAAAGACCCAGCCACGTTTCATCTTCAATGCCCTTGCTGATGGAAGGAGGTTTTCACTCAAAATCTCACGATACATGGCCCCATTCATTCTTTCCTTTACACGGATCAGTCGTCCTGGTCCCTTTGCAGAAAAACAGCCCCAAAGCATGATGTTTCCACCCCCATGCTTCACAGTAGGTATGGTGTTCTTTGGATGCAACTCAGCATTCTTTGTCCTCCAAACACGACGAGTTGAGTTTTTACCATATGACATTCT